CTCAACATCAAGAACGGTGGAACAGCATAGCTAGTGGCATATAACAACAACTGAAACACATAGAATGAAACTAGAGTCGTAAGGGAAAAATTGTGGAAGTAGAAGTATAAGATGATGTAGAAATATGCAAAGAAACAAACGACGGAAATGAATCACCTTAGTTTTTGGTTTGAGATCATCATGATTTAAATATGCAATAGTGGCTGGCAAATGAATGACGGACAGTGCAAAAATGAGCGCTATAAGGAGGGGTCGAATGTTCGAAAAGAATGGAGAGTGTTTCTGAATAATTGGTGAAGCGAATCGCGGTCGAATACACCATTCGCAAATGAAATAAATCACAGCGCTGAACAATGTGAACCTGAAAAGACACGATGTGAAATTTGAGAATTTCTTGACACGATGATCATTGTAACCGTTGGCCGCATTTTTGTAGAATTCAGTTAACTTGCATGCATGCACTCGAGTCAATTAATTGCTCGTTTCCAAGCGGTCAGATGATTGGCAATAGATGATGNCAAAAATGTTCCAGTGGTTTATTTAACTGTCTTATTGTTAGTGTTTCAGTGCTGCAGAAAAGCAATGCTGCTTGTTTAGTCATTAGCTCATTGTCCATTGTAACACGTCAAAGACACGCTTCTGAAGCTTTAACTGACAACAAAATTTTTTTGTTAGCAGATAATGGTTCCAAGAATCAAGTGATTTGTTCGACGGTCGTAAGCGTGGAATGATTTTGCGGCAATCGAAATGCGGCATTCAAATGATAGCAGCATATTCTACGATTCGAACAAGGTGAAATTCAGCAACCAACCAATAGATAATTGTTGGCAATGCTTGAATGAGGTCAATTTTGATGAAAGCGATTCGTCCAAAATCCGAATGTCTGGCAACACCAACAGATTTGATGAGATTACCACCATTCGGCGACATACATCGATAGGTGTCCACACGATATTCGAAGCATAACGGGATTGAGATTATTGTCGTTATTGGCACTAACCAACAAACTTTGCGCCATGCTATCCACGCATACGAATTCCACGTACGGCATCGCTGCAACTTTGTAATTTGTTGACAACACACTCCAATAAACGTTATGCTACTGAAGCTGTATGAATATCAGCCAGCGCAAAGAATTAATCATAGAACCATTTCCAGAACACCTGGGACATTAGCATTCAAGAAGATCCGTCAACACTAAAAGTAGATCCAATTTTGCAGCAGATCCCGGATTTTAATGAATCCAAAATCTTGACGATATTCCGCAGAAAACTTTTTTTTATTTAAAAAAGAATACATAACTTGAGCTGCTTAATGAAGCACTATGCGATATTTAGGAAAGTTGATACGTATAATCAGCAGTAATAATGTGGCTGTCATTAAATAGATTTTCTCTTTTTNTTTTTGCAATGAGCTTGGAAACTAGCAGTGCATGGCATCGTATTTCCTATATTTGTTTATCAAATGAAATGAGCCCATTTATTCATTCATTCACTCATTCATTCATTCATTCAATTCGATTTCAAGATGCACCGTTGCGAATGTAATTCGCTTCGAGCGAATTTCAATAACGCTCATGCATTATTTATGAACGGTTAGTCTACGACGTAACAAGGAAATACTTCTCTCAGCAGCAAAACACCAAACAATCCCAACAGATTTCGTATAGAACAATAATCAAAACAACTGAAACGTTTGCATTTTTGCACGAAAAGTGAACACCAAATACGTTCGAAACACACTCCGGAGCACAATCTTAACTTATCAACCCAACACAACAGTAAAACACCGATACGACAATTTGCTTTAGCAGTTCTCGACACTCGTTTGATATCACCTGCCTTCACATTTGATACGACCTGCTCAACGATTCATTACGAAAATTTCAAGTGGAAATGTCAATTGCCACTAATCACGAAAAAATCTCTGGAGATGTTCTAATGGAATCGCCAACGCACAACAATGCCTTCCTTTCTTATCTCTGAATATTGATAAAACGTTCAAGAAGGAAACTCACACGGAGATTGTTGATAACAATTTGAAGACGAAACACGAAGCAACAACGTATTGATGCGATGAGCAGATGGAAAATACCCAATGGCATTGGCAAAAAATTAATCGATAACCACGAATCGCCATCGGTACTCAAATCAACTAGTACACTTAGCGGAAATGGCAGCACAAAGAAGCATAATTGAAGAATTGCTTGAATCCGAAGGTAAATGAAACTGAAATAAAATGCAATCGCATGTTACACATCCAATGAATCAATAGTTTGAGTTGGCGAGACGCAATCAAATCCATAACCACTGTCTGCAATGCTATCTGAATTCGCTGTCTAGTACAGACAATTATCAAGGACTCAAGTTAGTGCGTAACAGTATCCTGTAGGACCTTCAAACAACTAATGTTGACTTCAATATGGAATCATCAATTAATGATTCAGTGATCAGCGAAGTATTTAAATGAACATTTACTAGCTTCAGTTGTCTTGCTGGTCACTGACTGTGATATGGTTGCCGATCAAATTCCATTTATGCCACATAGAATCTCTCTGTCACTGAGCAGTTAGAAAGTTGAAAGTGATAAAACGCATAAAAACGGAGAAAAAATTCTCTGAGGTATATTTATGAGACAATTTGAAAATGAAAACTTTATCGAACCTTGCCGTATTCAGTTTCCTTCGTCTGCATAATAAATACAACATCAAAATGTTACCAAGAATTCCGAACAGAAATATTGTCACCTCACATAGCAAAGTTGTATTGATTTCACTGAACGCACTCCCTTTCTCCTGAAAATATGCATTTTTTGAAGTGTCAAACAAAGAATGCAATCGAGATCGGGTCGAAATTCCATCAGTCATAAAAGTTACGAATTAAGTGGTGTCTAAAAAGTGCTAAGGAAATGAACAGCTGTCATATTATCGAACTCCACGCAAATGATCTTGAGGAAGCGTTCTTTAGATACGTGTATATGTTGCACAGTTCTTGCAAAGCTCTCAAAACGACATAACCTTTACATTCAAAATTCCCAACTTTCTAGCACAACCTACAATTAAAAATTTAGCAATTTGTCATCAGGTAATATATTGTTCCACTAACATTTCCGATGGAGTATAGTAACACATTCTGTTCATTGTGTGAAACTTTCCTGATTATGAGGAACTGGAGAGCATGTCATTTTCTCATGTTTTCAGACTAGGATCTATTTCAAACGGGGCAATCGTTCGAAGAAGAAATATGGTAGGAGACTGTAAGCAATATTCGTTGCTCGTTGCAGCTGAATTATTTGTGCTTGTTCATTTTACATAGTGGAATGTTGAATGTTTCCCACGATAAGAATATTCGAGTGCAAACGCTTAATTTTACGAGCCCTTCATTCCTTTTCATTATCACTTCTCATCGTTCGTTCCCTTGCAAAAGATGCGCTCATATAAAACGATGCCATAAGACGTTTATTTGGTTGCATTTTATGCAAACCGCTTAATCAAGTCGAATGCTGCAGATCAATTTGATGTTCCGTTTAGTTTCATCCATCAAAGCAATTGAAATTTTCTTACAAGCAATACCACCCGTGTGGCAAAAAAAAGAACGTATTTCGAAGCCAGTCACTGAATTTCAAAAAATTGGTGATCTTCAATGGAGGGAAGCGCACGTTGAATGCACGCACGTTCCTTGTGCATTGTAAGTGGATATTTCATGCATAACATTAGCATGTTTTCGATAACACAAAATGATAGTGACGTGGTTACAATGTGAGCAATTCAGCTAATGTTTTTGAAATGAGACAGACGCCTAACGAACAATCTTTACGCTCAGCTTTCATCGCAAAGTGACTGACGTCTGCTCGCGACAAGTAATCACTTCATAATAATATCGGAACCAAAGATACTCCCCAACAGACAGCTCGGAGAAAAACTCGGAGAACGATGTTTATTCGTATCGCTTACGTAACAAACAACTCATGATGCGGAATTAGTTGCACACTTCAAATGAAGATTGATACGTTAACATCAAAAATATTTATCTGCTCAAAACAACTGCAAAAAAAACGCATAAGTAAGGTGGAACAGAAATGAGATTAATGCGAAAATTGAAGCGACTGTTCGGAACAATTCAGAAATCAGAAATCATATAATATGTTATNTGATTCCATTCATTCATTCCTTTCCAAATAAACTGATGATTATTTTGTGGGCTAGAAACGATGAGTGGTTTTTTAGATGAATGAAGTGAAGAGTCACTTACATAGATTGTGCTAAAAGCACGAGCACAAATGGCTCGATGATTGTATACGGTTGAATTCATCGATGGTGTTCGAATAATTACATAACTTTATTTGCATCCAACGAACACCGACAATACACCGTGCTTGTAAATGTAGAACAAGAATTTGACAGAGTTGTGCAGTTGGGCAAGCACTGAAAATACAGTTGAGCAGAGTTATTGTTGTCATCTTAGAACGAATATCAATAAATAATTTCACATGACCGCACCAGTCAGTAATTTCCCTTCAACTCAGCGACGATGCGAAACATGTATCGAAAAACGAATGCAAACAACACCCACTGATAATGATAAGTAAAATCATAGCGATAAACAACTGCTGATCAAATCCATAAAGCTATTAATAACGATACCAATAATAACTACTATAATACTGATTATAACAACTATAATCAGTGGCGCATAAACGAGATGTGCACTGAATGAAATTCAGAAATGTCGTCTGAGACATTCATCAATTGCGAATAGAAAGGAATAAATTGAATGAATGACCACATTTGTGAACATAGCGAATTGGATTTGGTTAAGTGGTAAGTTGGCTGTCACCAATAAGCGATCGTAAACCCCACACTGCAAATGTTTATGACCTATCTATAAGTGTAAGCAAACAAAATTGTGCTCAGCCACAACAGCCTCGAAACTGAACACAGAACAGAAGCAATACATAGTTCGTGTTTACATTAACGCGTTCAAACTGAATAACAAATTTTGTTTTGAATTGATTAATATCGATATCAAAATAATAATTGCAACAATTTTAGAGGAGCATTTCGTTGCTTTTCTCTATACTCTTCGATGATAACAACACGGAATCAGTCGAGCTTGCTCAATAAAAATGCAAACTCTTCAAAAATCAAATAAGCGATGAGTGAAGTGAACGATGATTGAGAGGAGGAATGATGATTGTAGCAGCTCAAAGAAATCATCCGATAAACGAGAGAAGTAACTGCAAGAGCTATTTTAAAGCGATAATATGATGAGGATGAAATTGAAACGAGTAGATCCACCAAACAATATTGATGATAATGATAACAGCAATGGGCGGTAACGTGCTCATAATCAGTTCTGTATGAAGCAATAAACTGAGAAATACGCGGAAGACCGGTTAAGTTGTTGTTTAGTATTGTTCAATTGTTCCATTGTTCAAACTGTATTCGTTTGCTAACATTTTGCACCAATAATTCATCGTTGCGGATAATTTCGTAATGAACGAATTATAAGAGAGTCGTTGAGTTACTCGGAAGCATCCATCAGTAACGTTCTTTCTTCTAAGTGAACGTTCGTGTGAAAGTGCTTTTAAAATGTTGATTTGTGAAAGAGTAATCGCACTGAGCACTCACTCAGTATTGTCAGAGCAACAAGCTTCGTAGTGCATAAATTTTTTGTTCGGTTGATGAACAAGTATCACAACAGATCAGATAATCAACGAAAACAAGTTTTTAGTTGTTTTCGTTTCGAAATTATTTGAAGTTCAGTCTATGAGCGTGTNTTCAATCGTATGCGATTCTAAATGCCAACACATGTGAATCGTGCAGCGATGGATGCGCTTGAACGATGCAATTCTGGCAATAGAAGTGAGCAGGTGCATGGACAGACGAATGAAGATAAAAATTATTGCTGGAACGGATAAGTAGTAACTGAATTGGCATTCGAAAAATCGAAAATAAATGAGATAGGAACATGAACGAAAGTCTGGGATAACTGCGACCCCGCATTGCGTCTAATTCCGAGCTCAGCTGTGGGCTCCGTTCAGAAGATTATAAGGGTGCTAGACGCCTCAGGCGATGACTGTAAAACACCGTTCACAAAATGTTATCCAAATTTCATTTGTTACTCTCAAGTGGGCCTATTGAATATTTATGAATAAAAGCAAACGAATAGTTGTTAGTTCGACTGTCGAACGAAGAGAAATTCTTTGGAGTAACAACACAAACATGACCACTAGCAAACATCAGCGTGCAATAAAATATTGCAAAATAACGAACGCATCACGTAAGACACAATTAGCGCAATCGAGATTTCTCAACAAAAAAAAAAGAAACGAAGAGTAAGAACTGCGATTTCACTGAAAAATGCACATGTGGTAACAGCTGATACCTTTGAATGATTTATTACACTCGAGAAATTGAGTTATAGACACCAATCAAACTGTTTATGAGCGATATTGTGAACTAATTCAAGCTGCGATGCTCGCATCAATTTCAAACGCTCAAATCAAAGCACATAAGTTGAACGGAAAAAATCTTCTAATGGCTGGAAAGTGTCGAAAACATTTTGTGCAAAGTGAATCTCTCAGCAAACAATATAAAATTCAGGAACAAATCGCTTCCATTCAATCTCTAAAAGCTTCTCTTCTGTCCAAAAAACCCTCAACAATGCTGGCACATTAGCGAAGAACTCAGAAATGAATGAGTGCATACTAAAATCCTTCTGAACACTTAACAACTGTTTTTTATTTGCCATGGCAGTGGAACTGCTAACTATTGTAGACTCAGTGTTTCTCAGTGAAGATCCATCAAAAAATCGCAGTGATAAAAAACGGAACCGCAAAAACTAAAAGTCGAGTGATCGACATGTTTTGCACAGAAACACATACGTATACTCAATCATTTGAAATTATGATCATTGCATTATTGATGAGATCAATTAAACAATTATGACACCGTCGCGGGTGCTGAATTTTGACGGTTTTTAGTGCGTGTGAATTGTTGTTTGTCGATGCGAAGAAGAAAACTTCACAACGCTTACAATGTGCTGAAGGCAATCGCATTGAAAAACACGTTTCCAACGAAAGCATCACGTAATGAAGTGGTGA